CTTAGAGTAAAATTAACTCTACTTTTGCAAGAAGACTACTAACACCAAAATATTTAACACTTTTGAATTTGCTGTGTATATACTGGTGGAATAATTGCCCAAAGGTGGGCAGCCAGGGAGGAGCAACAAGTCTCTACCCAGAGGAGGAGAGCTGCTGCTGGAGAAAATACTGTGACTCACCCAGACCGTAACAGTTTGGGTCATCTTCCAGACATCTTCCAGCCTGCATGCATACTTTTAACCCTGTGTAGATTAGAGAAAAAAAACAAATCAAACATATGCACCCAGTTCTAGTTGTCTTAAAGTCAATAAAGATGTATTCCGTACAATCATTTCACCCTGGAGAAAGAACAAAATTACCAAGACATTTATGCCCATGATGAGTGTATGTAAACTTCTGAACACAACTGTAATGGGATCATTTCTGTTGCTAGGCTATTGTTTCCTTCCTGTGGCCTTTGATTACCCCAAAACACATATCATTATGCGTTTTGATCACTTTGTAATGTAAATTTGTAATGCTGTTATCCTTCAAAAGTAAACTCAGTAAACTCTCTCATAAACTTAACTCGTGTTGGCCAATGTTGTGTTGTTGCAGAACTGTTTTTGCATTAGTTTTGTATGATATGAATCCATTAATAAAGCATTTTAGGGAATTAGCACCTGCTCTCTTAAACCACATACTACAACTCAGTGACTGACACAAAAACTCAGTTCTTTCACTGTTGTCTTCAGACTGCATTCAGTTTTTACAGTTTAAGGAAGCACTTAAAGATTGATTTGTTCTAAATGTTTCATATAAATCTGCTATACTTGCATACACACACATATATACTCTCTTTAAGTTTGAATGAATAAAGTTTCGCTACTCCTATTTTTTCAGTTGTTGGTGGTTAGTATTTGTTGATGACGTGTGGATAGGGATGACTTTTTGTTCTCATAAGCCACATGCTGATCACGGGCTTGGGCCTGCTCCTTGCATGTCTACTGTAGCTTGCAAATAGAAATGAAATCAATAAAAGGTGAATAAGACTGATTTGAGTAGTTAACTCTTTAATGATTATTGACTAAGGTGTGCGAAGTGTCCGTTGCTTTTAATTGCTTTTAATAATGGTAGGCATGCGGAAGCTATAAGCAACGACCTCTTTAATGTTGCCTTCACGTGCTCACCGCAAACTCATGCTTTCATCAAATAAAGTAGTTACCAGATAGTATTATCCGATTTTGTAATTTATTTCTTTAAAATAATTTAGTACTGTAAAAGTTTATGTATTTACTGTAAGTTTGCAGGGAAAATTATTTTATTTATTTATTTTATTTAAATGCTAAATGTAGTCAACTAAAGGTTAGTCACCAGGCTAAATGGGTTATTATAATTTATTGTCACGTATCGATATCGATATGAAAAGAAATTTCTATGATTTCTGGTTTTATTAAAGTGCGCATTTTCCTTGTGAAATGTAAATACGTATGATAGTTCCTAATTCCGGCAACCTTGAAAGCGGCACAAAAACCGCTGGTACGGCTGGGACTGTTTCGGCTTGACAGTGAGCTACCAAGCAAAAATCAGCAGCGGTGTCGTTTGAGGAAATTTCGTTTTGCAATGTAAGTCTATCCTATACCACACACTTTTATTTGTCAGTCAGATGTTGACGATTTCGCTTCCGTTTTTTTTTCTGGTAATACTTCAAGACGCGGGCGCAAAAACAACGCCCAGAACTTTTGCTACTAGCCTGCAACAAGTGCTAGTGCCCCCGTCTTCGAGATGTGAGCTAGCTTAGCCACAGCAGCAACGCTGCATTAAAGTTATCTAACGTTGCTCACTCCTCATCATATCAACTTATCTTTGCTAGTTATGTAGGTAGTCAAGAAAGAGTGTACACAATCGGTTTGTATACAGGCCACAGCTGTTACTGTTACACGAATCTTACTGTTAGACAACGATATGTGCTAGCGTTTTAGTCTATGCTTAGA